CCGCCCTTCCTGCCCTGGGTGCCCTGTGTCGGTGCCTCGGCTGCTGCTGTGGATCTGCTGCTGTCGGGGCAGATGGCTCCCCTGATGGTGTTTCCTTATCTTAGCTGGTCTGGCTCATCTAAACTCAGTCCATTGTGTTTTTTCCATGGTGGGTGGAGGTGGGGGTGTATGAGTGCGTGTGTGTGTGTGTGTGTGTGTGTGTGTGTGTGTGTGTGTATGTGTGTGTGTGTGTGTGTGTGTGTGTGTGTGTGTGTGTGTGTGTGTGTGTGCGCGCCGGAGGATGAGTATTGTGAAGAATTTTTATTCTCAGACTGTTTTTAAAATCTGGGGATGGGAGGGAATGTGGGTATGCGGGGCCTTTTTAATGTGTTAAGCACTTTGAGTTACATGCTTTGTATGATTAAGTGCTATATAAATAAAGTTTGATTTGATTTGATTTGAAAAAAATGGGACACACAACAATACAACAAGAGCAAGCTATCTCTGCATCAACCTAATGACGACATGTAAAATCAACAATGTTTTGCTGAACAGTCACACAATAGTAAATCACAGTGCATTTAGTGCCAATCACAGTCTTAAAACGTGTTGAAAGTGCCCAAGTCCATACTTATGAGAGCACCATATGAGCATCTGTGTGCGCTCATCATGCTCACGCATACACATACAACCAAAGACTTACAAAAATGAACGCTAGACAACCACTCACGCGCCCCATACACAACCAATTCACTCTGGTCCCAGTACTGCTGCACAAAGCATACAAACATCACCGGTTCCTAGAGTTCGCCCCTTTCTGCTGGGGTGATGATGAGCAAGCACCCCCGTCCAATGACGAGCAAAGCAACCCACCACCCCAGACCCCAACCAGACGGCCAGCTCCCCCTCCTAGCCTCCAGCCCGGGGAAGCTAAGCGACAACAGAGGTGTGCTAAGACCCCCCCTAGTCTCCCTTTGCCTGCTCCAATACAGTGTTAGTGCATGTTGATGAGGTGTATTCCATGGCTGGGATGAGCAGGCAGTGCAGGCATCAACTAGATAACGCCAGCCGATGCCACCACAGAGCCCCACTTCCCCCCACAGCCCTCTGTGTCTAAGTGCAGTTTAAAATTGGAAGTGGGCACCGGCACTCGGTATGAGGCTGAAAGATCCCCTTGCCAGACCAAAGGTGGCAGATCATTTGCTGCTGTGGCTCCCAGACTCTGGAACTCTCTTCCCCTCAGCCTGAGATTAGTGGACTCAGTGAACTCCTTCAAAAAGCAGCTGAAGACTCACTTGTTCAAGATGGCTTTTGTATGACCTTCTTCAACCCGTCTCTCTTTATTCTGCTCTCCCCACCTATTCCACCTTCCTAAAGAACCACTGATTTCCCTCTTTCCTATTCACTCTCTCTCTCTTTCTTAACATTTTTTAATCACAATTGTCTATTTTTGCTCATTTTAACTATATTTTAAAACATTTTCTAAACGCTTTTTTGTGTTTTTACATTTTTTGTTTTTGTGAAGCGCCTCGTGATTTTTATCTTGAGAGGTGCTATAGAAATGATATTTTCTTCTTCTTCTTCTTCTTCTTGCCAAATGCAGTTGAGTGTGCTCACTCCTAAGGCTCTTAGAGTGTGTTTGCGTGAAATGTTGTTGGTGGAAGTGTGTAATGTGCAAATAATATTGGGGGCAGGCTGCCACAGGAATGATGTGGAAATGGGATCCATACCCACACGCCCTGAATTTCCCACCCCCCAAGGTCCTGTGTGCATGTTTGTGTGATGATGTGAGGGAGCAGGAGAAAAATGTATTGGGATGGGGAAGAAAGGCTGGTTGGCCTAAGTGCTCCAGGGAGCCCGCTCTCCCACGGGCCTCAATAGGCACCTCCATTTTCAAAATTCCACCCAGGGCATGGAGACCCCAGCCTATCTCGCCAGGGCCCAAAGCAGCAGCATCGCAGAGCCCCACGGAATCAGAGTGCACCAACCCAGCCCCACCCCAGCAGAATATCTACTCCCATCCCTGCATTTACACAACTTCCAAAATATGTAAGACATAAGACATGCAGGTAACGTTGGGTCCTCCCCTTCTTGGATATTCCCCTCCCCCGTGATGGGACAGAATTGTTATTTCAGAGGTGCCGCGAGCTGCTTGTGAAATGCGTCAATTTCCACAGTTAACATAGGACTAGACAGGAAATCACACACGGTTTCAATGTAAAATCCCTGATAATTTTCAAAATAAAAGTACTGCAGCGATGCAGTTTCATATTTATGAAGATTTACGCGTGACCCAACAACTTATTTATGTTTATGTTTATGTGCTTAGCAGACGCTTTTACCCAAAGCGACTTACAAATTTACTCACAGCATTGTTCCAGAAGTGCAGCGGTGTATTTTTCATGGCTTTATTCCTGGCAGTAGGGAAGAACAACATCAAATATGACATAAAACAGTGATATCTAACGTGATTTCCTACTTTTTGTTTTAACGACGGATTGCATTAACAAACTGTGACGTGAAGTCTCGAGGGATCGTGTGATCTCGCGAGTCCAGGGAAGAGCACCGCTGCCAAGACTCTTCTGGTGTGAAAAGGACGCCATTGAAGTTCACGAGTAAACCGTTCCGCTGCCGTTTCGTGCCGCTGATGCTTCCAGTGTGAAACTGGGGTAACACTCTCCCTTCTCTTTATCCTCTGACTTCTACCCCCATAAATCCTGGACACCAACCAGGTGGCAGAACATGCTGTTAGTTCAGTCTACAAATTATTACCACAGTCTAAAGCAGGTACAATATTTCTACTTAGAGCTGACGTGTTTTCCTATGTTTTTTTGAACTGATTATATGTTTTATATTTTTAGTTTGCACCAATACCACTATTGCATATTTTTATCTTTATATTTGTACATACAGTACAGGCCAAAATTTGGGACACACCTTCTAATTTAATATGTTTTTTTTTTTTCATGACCAAGACCATTTACAAAGGGGCCAACAAGTGCTAAACACCTCTGGGAACTCCTACAAGACTGTTGGAAAACCATTTCAGGTGACTACTTCTTGAAACTTATGCCAAGAATGTGCAAAGCTGTAATCCGAGAAAAGAGTGGCTATTTAGAAGAGAATGGAGTATAAAACATGTTTTCAGTTATTTCACCTTTTTTGGTCAAGTATGCAGGAGTATTATATGAATGTATTTTGGGTGCTTTTAAAGCTCAATATACTACACTACATTTTGACCAATTTGATGTGAATTTCCATATAAATATGGAAATCCAGTCTGATTGGTCTTTGAATGTTTAACCAGAAGATTTAGAATTCTTTGTTTATTCAGGGTTTGTAAGACACTTCATATTAATTCAAGAAGAGAGTCAAGTTTATAAAAAGTAAGAAATGTATTTTCTAAACAATTAAAACATTACAACTAGGACACTTTATGTGATGAATGGATTTGAGTGGATGGAATGTGAGGTGTGCTGACGTGTGAATGTGATGTTATCAGAACCTCTCATATCTGAAGAAACTGAGCTCTGAGTGGGAGTGAATTTGGTTTGCATTAAACTAACAAAGTTGGTTATTTTCAAAAGCACATTAGGCACAATCTGTTGAGTCTATGTACCCTGATCGAAGACCCCCATTGTAGATCTGGAATGTTGAGGCCCGGGAACCCTAGAGGTACCGAAGTCCGTAGAAGCAACCGCAGTGCAGACTAGACCGGTCTCGAGTTGTCGTCAGGTCACGACAGTCGTTATTTGCGCATTGGGAATAACTCTTAAGGAGTTGAAGTTGGTTCAGCTTTATTCTGAAGGAACCGCTTGCGGTCAGCGGTAGTGTGCAACAGGCTTTTGACAGCCTGTCAAAAGATGCTCTGGGTTAAAGAGGTTTGCTCCAGATGGCCGGTCCATAGCTTTCTCAAGAACTCACAAGAACTAGAACTAACTCACGGTGGAGTCCTGTTTTCATAATCATCATATTTTGATTTACTAACAAATCAGAATTTGACATGCAGAAAGAGTTTTACCAACAAACCTCAGAAAAGACGCCTCGCGACAGATACAGGAGTTCTGATCGGTGGAACAGAAGCAATGTGTCAGGATATTAGCTTAACCTTGTCATCGTTACGTGTCTGAGTGTGTGAGCTGTCAGCAGATAGTGATTCACTTGTTAAATCAAAATTACTGAACCTAACATAATAATATTCATTTCAACCACAGTAATTTAAGCACAGATTAATCAAAACATTGTTATTCTTCTTCAACCATTATTGTTCATTCAACCAAATGATTATTTACTCATCTTGTTCATTATGATTTAATTTTGAAAGTCCATCCGTCTTGTGCTGTGAATAAAAACTAGTCTTATATAAGAGTGAGCCTGGAAGGACCTTGAAGCAACAGTATCTTCTTGCAGATTAAAGCACCAGTTAAGACTTATGTCTCCAAATGACCCGATACTGAAGAGGTGACCTGTAGATTGAAAAACAGCCCATTTCCGGAGGCTACAAGTACATAACTCCATGTGTGTTCATTGATTGTTTTGATGCCTTCAGTGAGATCTACTAATGTAAATGGTCATGAAAATAAAGACAACACATTGAATGAGTAAGATTTGTACAAACTTTTGGTCTGTACTGTACGTATAGTGCTGTTTGCACCAGGAAAATGAAGAAACATGTTTTCAATTCTGTCTGTACACATGTGGCAGATTTGACCATGAAGTGAAACTGAACTGAACTTAATTGAACTGAATACTGACTGCAAAAATCAGTTTGATATAAGGCAATTGTTACAATAATTGTACACAATAATTACCAACTTTTGGTGTAGAACTAGTAGTTTCTTCTCTACTATCTGAATTTCTCAACTCCAGCTAATTTTTGTTAGTTAGAACATTGATTTTTAATTACTATTTTAACAGCCCAGTCCAGAAATGTGATTCCACTCCACTTTTATTTCTATAGCAAACTCTGTCAACCAAAATAAAAACATAGATGAACACTAAAACACACCAGCAGTAAGACACATCACAACTTAAGCAATTATATTGTGAAGGGGAATTGTCAACAATGTAACTGATTTATGTATTTGTTTAATGAAAACACTTTTTTGTCTCAGCTCTTTTGTTTGTGTGGTTGGAGTAGATCAACAGGAAAGGATGACTCAGCACTTTCATCCATAACTTTAATCAGACAGCAGTGAGGATTCAACAGCCTCTCATTTGCTTTGCTCTCTGATTATGAATACTCTGCCTGATGCTGAACTCTGTTTCCCACTACTACTTAACACTTCCTGCAGGAAGCCACTGCAGCAACATGCTGAGAATATTTTTGTCAATGTGCTGCTGTCCTGCATATCTTTGTTCACTGTGGCTCTCAACCTGCTGGTTATCATTTCTATCTCCCATTTCAGGTACATTTTTTAGATTTTAAGTTTTGGTAGGCCAACTTTAACATGAATTTTCTTCTGCTGCAAAACAACAATACACGTGTGGTGCTTTTTTAATCCAGTGTTTTATTGATACATTATCTTCTCAACTGCAGTTTTATGAGATATGTTATGAAATTTTTGACAATATTGTAGAAATGTTTATTTGTTTTTGTCCCTTGTGAATGTAAAACTGATTAACTAAGCTTGTCTTGCTCTTCAGAAAATAATGATACAACATCCAGGTGGCAACTAACCCTAACACTTTGCTACTGTTTTGGACATAATTTCCTTCACTTATTTTTGAGTGCTGTATCAGTTATCAGACAAGTGGTGAGGGATGCCCTGGATAAGTCGTCAAGCTATTACAGACACAAACAGGCAAGCATTCACACACTCATGCACACACAGGGAATATTTAGACTCACTAATTAACTGCAACATGTATGTATTTTGATCTGAGTGAAGATACCAAAATGCCTGGAGAAAACACACATGCATGGGGATGATATGCAAACTCAGGGCAGAAAGGCCACAGCTGGGTTTTGAACCCGCAACCTATTTGCTGAAAAGCCACAACGTTGCCAACAGCACACACCCTTTAAGCTGACATAAAATGTGATTTTCAACTTAATTTTACTTTTCTCTTCCAGGCAGCTCCACACACCCACAAACCTCTTAATCCTGTCTCTGGCTGTCTCAGACCTCCTTGTTGGACTCCTGCTCATGCCAATCCGCATCCTTCAGAAAGGAGGCTGTTGGGTTCTGGGTAGTTTTATGTGTGGAGTGTTTAACTATTTATCTTTTATTATCACCTCTGCCTCAGTAGGAAACATGGTGCTCATATCAGCTGATCGATATGTGGCCATCTGTGACCCTCTGCGTTACCAAACCAAAGTCACCAACTGGAGAATTAAAGTGTGTGTGTGTCTGTGTTGGTTTTGTTCTGTGCTTTATAATGGAGTGATACTGAAGGACCACCTGAAGCACCCAGACAGATATAGTTCCTGCTATGGGGAGTGTGTTCTTTTAATAGAGTTTTTAACAGGTGTTTTTGATGTCATGTTAACCTTTATCGGCCCCATCACAGTCATCATAGTTCTGTACATGAGAGTATTTGTGGTAGCGGTGTCTCAGGCTCGAGCCATGAGGTCTCATATTGCATCTGTCACTCTGCAGGGTTCAGTTCCTGTAACTGCTAAGAAGTCAGAGAGAAAAGCAGCCACAGCTCTCGGTGTTGTTGTGGTGATGTTTGTGATATGTTTTAGTCCTAATTATTTTCCTTCTTTTGTGGGGGAGGACATGTCAACAAATGCCCAGCTTTCAATTTTTGCACTCTGGCTACTTTATTCCAACTCTTTTTTAAATCCACTTATCTATGCTTTATTCTACCCGTGGTTCAGACGAGCTGTCAAAGTCATTTTTACATGTCAGGTACTGCATTCTAAATCCTTTGATTTACACCTGCAGTAGAGTGAAACGGATAGCAAAATTGTTCTATCCACTAACAAGTTGATTGCTTTATAACATTTTGCTTTATAACATTTTGCACTTCAATTATTAGCTTTAGACAGATTTTTTTATTGTAAAAAAGCTCAGAATGTTTTAAAATCAAAGTAAAGACACAAGTTCACTGTCTAGATGGTTTCAGTTTGTGAAAAAGTCCAATTTTGGTCTCTTTCATCACCGTTGCCCTGTGGGCCTGAAGAAGTTATTCTTTAAGTTTAGTTACAGCATCCACTGTAATGAAATGTTCTCTTTGACTCTGTGAAGTCACTCAATATTAACTCAAAGCTAATTAGATAACAATCGGAGAAGATGGGGTTGTAAAGAAAAATTACACATTTTCTCTGAGTGCTGTCTCGAGGATGATGAAGAGATACTCGGTTTGTTAACATTATGAAACAGAACAATTTAGTTTAATAGTCTAATACTGACAGCACTAATTAAGCTGTTACTCTCCAACTTTAACCACTTCATCAGTATCAGTCTGAAAATTCAGACAAAACTCAGAATACGGACCAGGTGGGGGATATGAAACAATAAGTGTTATTTTTTACGTTTTACAAGACAAACAAGTAATAATTGTTGACAGGTCTACAACCAATCAATAAACCTAAGTGAGAAACATTTGTGTTGTCCTCTGTTCTTGTTGTTATTAGAGCTCTGTTATACCTCAATGTCTCATCTGTGGGATGGTAAAGGTTTATATAATTAAATTCAAATAGCTGCTACTCAAAAACAATAACAAGATCCTACCACTTCAACCATGTGTCAGAACAGTTAAATATTATTAATACACTGATTTTCATTTCAAATCTTTAGCTAGCAAATACTTGATTCGTTTACACTTTTCTCACTGATGATTTGGAAAACTAAAAATAAATAAATAAAATTGAAATACTACTAGCAAGTGATTGCAATATACAGTTCTGTGCAAAAGTTTTAAGCAGTTGTGGAAAAAATACTGTAAACAAAGAATTTTTTTCAAAAATAAGTATTAATCTTTTATTTTCATCAATCAACAATAAGCAGTGAATGAACAAAGACAAATCTAAATAAAATGTTGCTGGGTCCAAACCATCGTAGCCAGAGATCTTTTGTGGATGTAGACTTCCTCACACCCTTCTGTCTGTGATCCCAGACACGCTCCATGGTAATAAAAAAGGGCTCTGTGGCGACCAGACCATCACTTTCAGGACTTCTTGTTCTTCTTTACACTGAAGATAGTTCTGGATGACTTTGGCTGGATGTTTGGGGTCACTCATGTTGTATTTTGTAAACTGAAAAATGAACCCTCTGGAGGCAGGCATTGCAGATTTGCAACGTTAAAACCTACCTACCTGGTTACTCCACATACGTATTTCATGAGCATTTTTTTAAACTCAGAAGTACCCCGGAAGGACTTAGTTGTTCGTCCTTTTATCAAAACTTATTGGGACTGAGAGGGTTAATCATCATGATTTTTATTTCAGAAAGTATTTTTGTTTACAGCATATTTCACACAACTTTTGCACAGTATTGTATAATAATATATATTAATTCCAAATACCAAGCTGCTCTACATCAATGCATGAAACACATGCTGTATCAGTAATCATATGAAATGAAACAAATGTTGAGGGTCTGCCCTCATGAGAAAATTACTATGCAGGAATTTCTCCAAAAGACTGTGCCAAAAACGCCCTGGAGCGTGAATAAAAAGGCATATTAAAAATCAGCGCCAGCAACAACTTCATTTCCCATGATTCCCTGCTACCGGAAGCAACGTGATGACATCACCAAAGCGGCGTCGAACCCCGGAACACAAGTTCCGCGCATGAGCTGGAACTCAGAGTCCAGCCCGCCAGACAGCCGAGTTTATAAAAGAGAGACAAAAACGAAACCTAGTTCTCTTTGTGTCCAGCTTCAGCTGGTGTTTGAAGAGACACTCGTTCTGCTACGGCTCCGGACACGACAAGAGGCCGAGCCGCGGAAAAGCAACGGAACTGCCATCTGGTTAGTTTGAACTCCGAGGGACGCTTCGGGTTCGATGGGTCAAGAGTTTCTTTTCCTCTCCCTTTTCTCTCTCTCTCCCGATCTCTCTTATAGCCCAAAAGAATAAGCAGTCAACCGCGCGATTGCTTTCAAAGTAAAATACGGTCTCTCTTCCGTACCAAAACACGACATGGGATCATCTTAAGAGTAAGCCGTTTTGTTTTTGTCATTGTCTAATATCTTAAGTTTTATGCTGTGGCCAGGCTGACAAACTATTAGATATTTCATTTATGATTTATCTTTTGTTTTGTTTATTGATCTTTGTTAAGCGGTTTTGAAGTTTGTTAAGTTTTACTGTGATTGAACGTGCTTCGGAAGTTTAAAGTGAAAGCTGTCCACGCACGCACGCACGCACGCACACACACACACACACACACTTTTTGGTTTTCCGTGTTTGGGGACACACACACACACATATTCTGGTTTTCAGTGTTTGGGAGGGCACACACATCCCACATACACGGTCGGGTCCTTGCTCCCTCAGACAAAGGGACCAGCCATTTTGTTTCAACTACCTCCATTTTGTTACCCCACCTATCAGATTAGTATTTCACATTATCATTCCATTGTTTAATTACTTGTTATTCATTTGATAAAATAAGTTGGCGGATATTAATTAGCTAACACTTTGGAAGGAGCTGAAGTGGGTATATTAGTTAATAAATGTTATTGCCAATTAAGCATTTGTCTCAAGTGAGTATGTTTGTGTTGATATAAAATGAACTGCAGCTCGTTACGGATTTTACTAACTTCAGATAAATTGATAAGAGGTTTTGGATTTATTTTCCCTTGTTAAAAAGGGTGGTGCCCCGAGGCATATCTCCGGATATCCTAATTGCGTAATAAAATCGGTAAATATTTCCATATTTACGAATTTTATTGAAGAATCCAAAAAGTAAGTAAAAGCTTACAAATTATTCGTTGACTAATAATCACAACACAAATACATGTTTTTTTTAATGAGGTACCATATAATTGCTAAAATAAATTAAAACCAGCTCTGTTTTGAATGTCAATAGATTCTCAGTTTCTTTTACTGTTGAAATGGGATTTAGCATTTACAGGTGCTGGCCAGTAAATTAGAATATCATCAAAAGGTTGAAAATATTTCAGTAATTCCATTCAAAACGTGAAACTTGTACATTATATTCATGCAATGCACACAGACCAATGTATTTCCGATGTTTATTACGTTTAATTTTGATATTTATAGGTGACAACCAATGAAAACATCAAATCTGGTATCTCAGAAAATTAGAATATTCTAAAGGCCAATGAAAAAATGTTTGTTTCTCTAATGTTGGCCAACTGAAAAGAATGAACATGAAAAGAATGTGCATGTATAGCACTCAATACTTAGTCGGGGCTCCTTTTGCCTCAATAACTGCAGTAATGCGGCGTGGCATGGACTCGATCAGTCTGTGGCACTGCTCAGGTGTTATGAGAGCCCAGGTTGCTCTGATAGTCGTCTTCAGCTCCTCTGCATTGTTGGGTCTAGCGTATTGCATCCTCCGCTTCACAATACCCCATAGATTTTCTATGGGGTTAAGGTCAGGCGAGTTTGCTGGCCAATCGAGGACAGGGATACCATGGTCCTTGAACCAGGTGCTGGTGGTTTTGGCACTGTGTGCAGGTGCCAAGTCCTGTTGAAAGGTGAAGTCTGCATCCCCATAAAGTTGGTCAGCAGCAGGAAGCATGAAGTGCTCTAAAACTTCCTGGTAGACGGCTGCATTGACCCTGGACCTCAGGAAACAGAGTGGGCCAACACCGGCAGATGACATGGCACCCCACACCATCACTGACGGTGGAAACTTTACACTGGACCTCATGCAACGTGGATTCTGTGCTTCTCCGCTCTTCCTCCAGACTCTGGATCCTTGATTTCCAAAGGAAATGCAGAACTTGCTTTCATCAGAAAACATAACTTTGGACCACTCAGCATCAGTCCAGTCCTTTTTGTCCTTGGCCCAGGCGAGACGCTTCTTGCGCTGTTTCTTGTTCAAGAGTGGCTTGACACACGGAATGCGACACCTGAATCCCATGTCTTTCATGAGTCTCCTCGTGGTGGTTCTTGAAGCGCTGACTCCAGCTGCAGTCCACTCTTTGTGGATCTCCCCCACATTTTTGAATGGGTTTGTCGTCACAATTCTCTGCAGGGTGCGGTTATCCCTAGAGCTTGTACACTTTTTTCTACCACATTTTTTCCGTCCCTTCGCCTGTCTGTTAATGTGCTTGGACACAGAGCTCTGCGAACAGCCAGCTTCTTTAGCAATCACCTTTTGTGTCTTGCCCTCCTTGTGCAAGGTGTCAATGATTGTCTTTTGGACAGCTGTTAAGTCAGAAGTCTTCCCCATGATTGTGGTGCCTTCAAAACAAGACTGAGGGACCTTTTAAAGGCCTTTGCAGGTGTTTTGAGTAAATCAGCTGATTAGAGTGGCAGCAGGTGTCTTCTATATTCAGCCTTTTCAGAATATTCTAATTTTTTGAGATACCAAATTTGGAGTTTTCATTAGTTGTCACTTATGAATATCAAATTTAAATGTAATGAGCATTGGAAATACATTGGTCTGTGTGCATTGCATGAATATAATGTACAAGTTTCACGTTTTGAATGGAATTACTGAAATATTTTCAACCTTTTGATGATATTCTAATTTACTGGCCAGCACCTGTATGTTGGGTTTGTTTAAGGGACGCACTGATTCAGATTTTTTGGACCAATACTAATTTCTAAATTTTTACACAGCTTTGTCCAGCCAGTACAGATTTTGCCTTGTGTTCACATATCTATAATAATTTCATTGAAGGCAGCAGAAAGGGCCCCCAACGCAGGAAACACTGGAAGAAGGAATAATATAAAACAAAATATAAAAATAAAAGAAGCCAATATGACAGTACAAGTAAATAAATGATTAATTAAATTATAATAAATATTACAATTATGTAGGTGTAGAATGTGATAAAATGTAATTTATCAAAATATGCAAAGCAAGTAATCAAATTATAATAAAATAAACAGTTAAAAGCTTAGCTAAAAGGATGGGTCTTGAGCCTGCTCTTAAAAACATGAATGTTCTCTGTGGTCCTGAGGTCCTCTGGCAGCCTGATCCTGAGGCGAGGGCCAAACTGGAAAGATGCTTTTCCATAAGTATGTGTCTTGACTTTAGGGATAACCAGGAGATGGCTGCCAAAGGAGCGCAGAGCCCACGAGGGGTTCTTCTGGTAAAAGCAGTATTGAGAGTTAAGAGAGCCCAAGGCCTTTGAGACACAAATAGACTCATTACATGCAAAGCCAGATATTTCAAGCTTTTTATGTGTTACAGTAAGAATATTGTGAAAAGTTTCAATATTCTAAACCAAGTGTGTCCAAAGTGTGGCCCCAGGAGTGATTTTGCCCTTGTTAGCATTTTTAGAATTGTGGAATTAAGTCTCTTCAGGAGCCTGTTGATATAAATTCATATACTTTATTATTTCCGTTTAAATGTTTACTAATATATATTGTTTAGATGTTGTTGAGCAGAACAAAGGAAAAATATAAAATTATAGTTAGCATTTTTACAAATATTTATTTTTATTTTTTTATTTTGTGGCCCGTGAGGAGTTTCAACTTCCTGATTTTGGTCATTGTCTTGAAAAGTTTGGATATCCCTGTTCTAGACTCAAAGTGTCACACTCTAATCAGCGAATGAATCCAAAATACTTGCAAAGGGTTCCTGAGCCTTCATATCAAACTCAACAATGGGTCAAAAAGAAAAACTGGGACGAATTGTGGGCCAAACTCAGTATTTTAGATTTTATTAATATATGCACATTTTCCTTTATCTACAGGTATGTATGGTTGAACCTTTTCATTTGGGAACAAACTCGTTTTTGCAGTAACACTGAATGTGAAATAACCAAATTGCACACAAGCAAATCGACTTAAAATAAGCACACATCAGTGGTATTTGTTACCGGTGTCTCATTTTAAAAATGATTTTTACTCCTTAAATTGTTTATATACACAGCATTTATTTATTATTATAAATATTTTGAATCTTTTAAGTTTTTCTGTTTTCTTGTTGTTTACTTTACTCTCCTGTTTTGCTCTTGTAATGAATGGTATTGCTGCTGTCACACCAAGCTTTCCCCACTGAGGGACAATAAAGGTATTTTCTATTCTATTTCTATTCAATTCATCTATCTGTAGTCTTTCCAATTACTGTTTTGAAGTGGGTTAAATACATCACAGGCCAACAACAACAAAAAATATACATATAATTTTCTTAAATGAAAATGCATTATCTCACCTATTAACTTTCATGCTTTGGAGCAGAAAAAGTGCGTAAAAACTACAATAATTCAAGCTCAGTTTGCTCCACTCCGATTTACTGTGATGCTCACCTGTTCCAGGCAGACACCTGCATCTCTGGGGTTGTGTTCTGAGCTCAGGAAGGAGTTCAACAGTGAGACTCCTGTGTTGTTCTGTTCATCTTCATCACAGACAACAGTTGCTCACATACGTATGTGCTGTTGAACGTGGAGTGACTGAGCAGCTTGACCACACTGTTTTGTCAGTGTGTCAGAGAGGAAAGGCAAAAATTGCAGCAGCTACAGAGTCGTACTCAATGGCGCCCCCAAGGTGTGGCCATGTTACCCAAAAATTTCTTTGGCCCCATCTGGCCACCCCATCAAAATGTTATCGATGCGCCCCTGGTCATACTGACTTGAGCGTGTTGCTAAACCGGAGTTAAATCATCTCGGTCTGGCAGTTGGTTGGCGCTTTTTATATGTGAGCAGTTAAAATCCATTTCTGGTCTTCAAAGTTGGCAAATAGCTGAATAAACTTGGCGCTGAGTAAGAGGAATGTTTTCAGTTTGTCCCAGACTGAGGAGGTAACGCTGCAGATGCCGAGTGGTAGCGTGGATGCTAATGACTGTAAACAGAAAGGATGGGGCGCTTCGACAGATGTGCTAATGCTGCAAAGCACTATGGGATTTGTAGTTTTTGTGGCAAAATCAGCTGGCGGGCCAGTTTCAATATATATTTGATCTTGCAGGCCAAATAAAAATAGACCGTGGGCCGAATTTGGCCCGAGGGCCTGAGTTTGACACCTGTGCTTTAGATTGTTTCTCATTCTAAGTTTAATTACTGAAATCAATGAACTTTTGCATGATATTCTTAACTTTGAATTTCTCCTGTACATGCTATGTTGGTGACAAAGTGCTTTCTAGTCTCAAAATGAATATGTCTAACTTAAAGAAACATTGGGAGTCGCAAATGGCTGTCAATATTTATGTTTTTTTTAAATAATAAATGTATCTTTTCAGGTCAACTTAAAAGTCTGGAGACACTCTCTTTAGTCACTTTGTCTTTAGTGGATTATTTTGGTATCACGAGAGCCAGGCTGCAGTATTTTAAGTGTCAAAATGAGCTTAATAGATTTTCTGAACCAGGGGTAGCAAAAGACATAGATGAAAGGATTCAAACAGGAATTCAAATGTGCCAGCCATGTTTCAAAGGCTACAGATGAAGCATTTACCCAAGTGTCATGACCCTCCAAAGATGGAAAATAGTATGGACAAAAACAAAACAAAAACACAACTACAACAACCCCAAGAGTCAGGGCAGCTTTCATCTCTTGTTTCCTGATGGTTACAGAAGCCAGTTTGCCAGCTGTAACCTTACAACGCAGCCTACGCGCCTGAGATAAGGCTTCAATAAATACTCTGAAATACAAGATTATGATGAAAACAATGGGTAAAATAAAGGTGCAAATCATATCAATTACTCCTGCAATGTTACTGACGATGACCACACACTCACCAAAACAGGTGTTGGACCTACCAGGTTCTTCCAGGTGATCATGCAAAAGGAAAAGCCTGTATACAACAGAGCAGATCCAACACAGACTGACACTGATCTGGGTTCGGTTCTTGTTAACTTTGGTGGCATAATGTAGAGGGTAACAAATGGCTAAATAACGGTCAAGGGAAATCAGAACCATGTTTGCTACTGAAGCAGAGGTGATGACGTAATCTGAAATGTAATACAGAGTGCACAGGATGTCACCCAGAAACCAACAGATCTCAATGTAGATGATCTCAACTGGCATCAGCAAGAGGCCAACCAGGAGGTCTGAGATAGCCAGAGACAGGAGAAGGATGTTGGTGGGAGTGTGGAGCTGCCTGGAGAGGGAAAAGGCAATCAACAGACATGCAGTTATCGCAAAGTCAAAACATTTAGTTGAATTTTAATTGAATTTCAGGTGATCAAATGCATCAGAAAAAGACAAACAAAAGACAAAAACAGATTCTGTCGTTTAAACAAATGATTCTAGTATTTGCCTGAAGTGCGAGATGGAAATGATGACCAGTAGGTTTAGAGCCACGGTGATAAAAGAAATGCACGAAAGCAGAATGTATATCATCAGAATTGCAGAGTGAGGGTGGGTGGGCTTCCTGCAGGAGGAGTTTAGGTGTGGCACACAGAGCTGCATTTCTCTCAGAGTTTCCATCACCAGAGAAGAGCCTGCTGAAATCTTCAGTCCTGTAGCTTTATACACAACAATCCCTCCTCTTCCTCCTCTGGCTGCACGTCACACTCTTTCTGTACCCACCCTCTATTGCTTTGGTGTCAGTTAAACATTTCTCTAAATGAATTATTATTATTATTATGAAGTATTTTAGTTATCTTCAGACTTTTTCTATGTTCTGATATTTGACATTTCTAATCATTATGAAAGAAATGTTAATTCTTTCTATGTTAAAAATGTCACAATTTTGGATGACATTTTTCATTTCGAAGCATAGTTTTGTTACACTACAACAACTACAGTAACACAGATGAATGACTCTGAGTTAACTATGATTGGTTCTACCATAAGGTTCTCTTCTCAGTGGTCCAGTGGTTGAGTGTCCACCCTGGGACTGGGAGATCTGGTTCAAAACCGGTTGGGTCATGCCAAAGACCTTAAACAGACAATGTGTAGTTTTTTACCATTAATTTCTGGAAATATCTATCAAAATGTTGTTGAAAATGAATGAAATAATGCCGAGTTGTTGAAACTATTGGCGGCTTTATAACATATAACCACAAAAATCAGGTCCAAACTACATGGGAACATGTCTGTATCTGAACGATGCCTTATTAGATGCCATGTTTCTTTCCACAGGAGGCCGTGAGGACAAAATGCATTTTGATTTGTAAGAAACGGTTACAAAACTTTTGTCATTCTTAAATGTTTTTGTTTCACACATTTACCTCTTCACTTGTTGCCAGTGATGAAAGGGAGTCTGATGTGCTTGTCATTTTGCTGAAGTTTGCACTCCCTAGTGGTTGTTGACCCTAATGGGCATCCGTTGGAAAGGTCTTACCCCAACACAAAAATACTGCTTGCTTGCTTGCAACGACTTAGGTATCTACTGCCCCCTATCACCAGGAAAAATACACACTGTCACTTTAAACATCCAATACAATTTTATTTATATAGCGCCAAATCACGACAAAAGTCATCTCAAGGCACTTCACATAATAAACATTCCAATCCAGGTCAGTTCATTAAGCCTATCAGAAAAAAATATTTCATATATAAGGAACCCAGCAAATTGCATCAAGTCGCTGACTAGTGTCAGTGACTTTACAGCAATCCTCATACTAAGCAAGCATTTAGCAACAGTGGAGAGGAAAACTCCCATTTAACAGGAAGAAACCTCCAAAGGATCCTGGCTCAGTATAAGCAGCCATCCACCACAACACTTGAGGTGTGACAGCAGGGCAGCTGTCACACCATTCATACCTTGCCTTGTACAATCATTACTTTCGGGAAATAGAAATAAATTCATTTTTAAAAACTACGTGTATATACTTTACTCCGTCTGAATTAATATGAAGTGTGCATGTTCCCTGAATAAGTAAAAGAAACTAAAGTTTCATTCAAAGACCAATCAAACTGATATTTCATATTTATTTGGAACATCACATCTTATTGATCATTTAATACATATGTAGCCAATCCTTAACGCTTCATATTAATTCAGACAGAGTCAACTGTATCATGTATAAAACTTCGGGCGAGGGCGGTGGTCACCTGAGTGGGACCACCCCCCTTCCTTTGAAGCTTCAACATGCAAAACGTGGGCTCCTTTTAGTACTCACTGAATTTTTTAGCAGAGGGGGAGTGCTTGAAACGAGAAGGTTTCGGATACTTCAACCCCAGATACTACTTCATGGACTGTGACTTTGGAGATGCTTGTGACAGAGCGTCTTGAGCCTCGGTCTCAGATGGGTCACCGTGGACCAAAATAGAGGTTTCGGCGTGGGAAGCCGTACCTGTAGAGGTCCTAGGTGCTGGAGCAGACATTGTTGAGCACATGGGGGTGCAAAGTGGGGTTGCAACAAAAAAATCAGACAGCCATGGGTGGTAACACTTGTGGACAAGAACTCGAGACGCTTTAACTCCTGCACTTGAGGCAGGACCTTGTTCCTGACCCGGAGAAGGCATTCTACCCTTTTGCAATTCCAGACCATGGTCTCAGATTTAGAGGAGCTGATTCTCGTCCCAGCCGCTTCACACTCGGCTGAAAACTGCTTCAGCAAAAACTGGAGATCATGTTCTGATGAAGCCAAAAGGACCACATCATCTGAAAAAAGCAGAGACATGATTCTCAGGGCACCAAAACAGATCCCCTCAACACTTTGGCTGCTCCTAGAAATCCTGTCCATAAAAGTTATGAACAGAATCGGTTACAAAGGGCAGCCTTGGTGGGATCCAACTCTCACTGGGAACGAGCCAGACTTACTGCCGGCCATGCTGACCAAGATCTGACACCAGTCATTCAGGGACCTAACAGCCCGTATCAGAGGGCCAAGCACCCCATCCTCCCAGGGTACCCCACACAGGTCCCCCAGAGGACGTCGAACGTCTTCTTCAAATCCACAAAACACGTGTAGATTGGTTTGGCGAACTCCCACACACCTTCCAAGATCCCTCTAATGTATGGAGCTGAAGCTATTTAGTCAAACTTAACAAAACTAGCACTGGCTGGATGAAGACCAAAAATACAAAGCAAAAGCACCCCAAAACATTCTTAATTCATTCACAGCTATTGACGACTAAAATATATCTAACTGCTTGCTGCCATTAATGACTGAAGACCTCAAATGGGTTTTTTAACAGGCTGGGCTTGGGAATGAGCTTGTGCACCTTTAGAGTAGACTTAACGTCTCTAAAGTTGATCTTCACCAATGTGTGTCACACGTCACATGATCAGGAAGCAGACAATCCATGACTTAGGACAGGTGTGCCCAACCAGTCGATCTGAGGAACGTTTTAGGTAGATCACGGATGTAGCTTCGGAAGTAGGGCCGCCAAGAGGCTGAGATGGGCCGTTCCACTTGTTTGACCAGCAGATAAAAATATTATGAAGATCCAAGTTATTAATAACTTTATTTATGACAAAGAAAAACGAACTCAACAAAACATGTTAAATTTATGACCCAAAGATAAATACGTATAATAATCACAAGTATTAATGCATCTCCATATGCAGCCACGGCGCTTTGCGTGTTTTTGGTTGGTCAACAAAAAAACTCTTGTTCAAATGAAAAGCCAGTATGTTTGATCTGCAAAATCGGCATTGCTGTACAAAAAAAGGTAACTTGGAGCGACACTTCAAGACTCTGCACAAGCAGTACGAGATGGATTTTCCTCCCAATTCTCCACAACGCATCAAAAAGGTCAGTGAGCTAAAACAACAGCTAATAGCCCAGCAATTCCTTTTCACCAAGCCTACTTTGAAATACAGTGAGGAACATAAGTATTTGAACACCTTGCGATTTTGCAAGTTCTCCCACTTAGAAATCATGGAGGGGTCTGAAATCCACATTGTAGGTGCATTCCCACTGTGTGGGACAGAATGTAAAAAAATAAATACATCAGGAAATCACATTGTCCATCCATCCATCCCCCGGGGGAGGGGGGGGTGTTGGGGGGGGGGGGGGGGGGGGGGGGCTGGTGCCTATCACCAGCGGTCAACTGGCAATCAGGTGGGGGTACACCCTGGACAGAGAGCCAGTCCATCGCAGAAATCCCATTGTATGATTTGTGAAGAATTTTTTTGTTTTGCACTGCTGGACATAAGTGTTTGAACACCTGGCAATCAGCAAGAATTCTGGCTCTCAAAGACCTGCTACTCTGCCTTTAAGAAGTCCACCTCTACTCCACTTAGTAATCTTAATTAGTAGCACCTGTCTGAGCTCTTGAAAGACACCTATCCACCCCACAGTCAGTCAGACTCCAACTACTACCAAGGGCAAGACCAAAAAGCTGTCAAAAGAAACCAGAGACAAAATCGTGGACCTCCACACGACTGGAAAGGGCTACGGGGAAATTGCCAAGCAGCTTAGTGAAAATAGATCAACTGTTGGAGCAATTGTCAGAAAATGGAAGAGGCTAAAGATGACTGTCAGTCTCCCTCGGACTGGGGCTCCATGCAAGATCCAATCTCGTGGGGTATCACTGGTGATAAGAAAGGTGAGGAATCTGCCCAGAACTACACGGGAGGAGCTGGTCAATGACTTGAAGAGAGCTGGGACCACAGTTTCAAAGGTCATTGTTGGTAGAATACTATGCCGTCATGGTTTCAAATCATGCATTGCACGAAAGGTTCCCCTGTTCAAGTCATCACATGTCCAGGCCCGTCTGCAGTTTGCCAATGACCATCTGGATGATCCAGAGGAGGCATGGGAGAAAGTCATGTGGTCAGATGAGACCAAAGTAGAACTTTTTGGTCTAAACTTCACTCGCCGTGTTTGGAGGAAAAAGAAGGAGGAGTTGCATCCAAAGAACACCTTCCCTACTGTGAAGCATGGGGTGGAAACATCATGCTTTGGGGGTGCTTTTCTGCGAAGGGGACAAGACAACTGCGCTGTATTAAGGAGAGGATGAATGGGGTCATGTATTATGACATTTTGAGCGACAACCTCCTTCCCTCAGTCAGAGCATTGAAGATGGGTCGTGGCTGGGTCTTCCAACATGACAATGACCCGAAGCACACAGCCAGGATAACCAAGGAGTGGCTCCGTAAGATGCATATCAAAGTTCTGGAGTGGCCTAGCCAGTCTCCAGACCTAAATCCAATCGAAAATCATTGGAGGGAGCTGAAACTCTGTGTTGCTCAGCATCAGCCCCAGAATCTGACAGATCTAGAGAAGATCTGTGCGGAGGAGTGGGCCAAAATCCCTGTTGCAGTATGTGCAAACCTGGTCAAGAACTACAGGAAACGTTTGATCTCTGTAATTGCAAATAAAGTCTTCTGTACCAAATATTAAGACTGATTTTCTCAGGTGTTTAAATAGTTATGTGCAGCAGTGCAAAACAAATAAATTCTTTACAAATCATACAATGTGATTTCCTGATTTTTTTTACATTCTGTCCCTTACAGTGGGAATGCACCTACAATGTGAATTTCAGGCCCCTCCACGCTTTCTAAGTGGGAGAATTTGCAAAATCGCAAGGTGTTCAAATACTTATGTTCCTCACTGTATAAAACTTCTACCATTGCATCTTATCGTGTCAGTCATGTTCTTGCTAAACACAAGAAGTCTTTCAAAGACGGTGAAGTATTTAAAGAGGCCCATTTTGGAGGCAGCAGACTCGCTTTTCCACAACTTAAAAAACAAGGATGAAGTGGTTGAGCTATTTAAGGACATGCAGTTGTCACGCAACACTGTAACTCGGCAATGTGAGCTAATGGCAGAAAACATGGAGGAACATTTGAAGAAGGCTATTGACACGTGTGAGAGTTTTTCTCTTCAGTTTGATGAGTCAAATGACATGATGGATGTGGCACAGTTGTGCGTTTACATCAGAATGGTCTTTGGAGACATGAGTGCAAGCGAAGAGCTGCTGACAACAGGGGCGGCGTTAGGCCCGGCTACTTGGGCTGAAGCCCCGGATCTTTCACGATAAGCCCCGAATCTAATTTATCGCGGAAGTAACATGCAGTACCAAAGTCCAACAGAGAGGGCGCAGCTGGCAGTAGTTTGTATACAACCTGCCTGAGCCTCCACCACTGAAGAAGAAGCCCTTCAGCAGCTGGCTTCTTCTACACTCTGTCTGAAACACATGAGTGAAGATGGACATAAGGACGTTTTTTAGACAAAAAGTACGACAGAACCCCATCTTTGATGAGACTGGTGTTGACTCAGGTTTGTGAGTCTTATTTGAAAGTATTTGTTGTGCTGCTGGTTTGCCTAAAGTTAGCTTACTATCAGGTAAAGTTGATGGAGAAAGAAAGGGAATATTTACTATCATCTCACACTAAACACTAACAGGAACAATACTCTGCCCTGAATATGATTAATATGTAGCTTCAGATTAAAAATTATGTGGTACAAGATATATATTGTCATGATTCTAAGAGACTCTGGAGCGAACACACCCGGACACAGGAGAAAGTTTAACAGTTTTATTGAAAAGTTCAGCGGGTTCTCAAAATGGTGGAGGAACTCTGGACGGGTTTGCAGAGGCGGTTCTGAAGGGGAAAACAGAAGGTGAGTCGAGGAGCAAGGAGACTGTTCTGATAAAAGAATTGAAGGGGGTGAGCTTACTGGTCTGCGTGGCGAGGAGTGTTTGGAGAGGAGGTGAGGTCCAGTGTGGGAGTGTGGCAGGCTGAGGTTGAGATTTTGCTGGAGGCTCGAGGGTGGACAGGCATGTGGAGAAGAGGAGGATCCAACAGGGCGTGGATGAAAAGGCTGAAGCACAGCAGCCAGGAGGAGCACTGGGTGAAGCAGACACCACGGTTCAGGGAAGACGCTGGGAGATCCTGGGAACTCAGAAGGTCGGGACGACTGCGAGACAAAACATTACTTGTGAGAGAAACACTGGGAAGCGCAAGGAAACACAGAGCTGACCTGATTACCAAGTTGTGTGGCTTAATCATCTGGCATCTGCTTTCCTCCTCCGGCCAGCTTTAAGTGCTCCACCTTAATTGCCTCTGATCAATGGCACCTGGTGCGGCCTGCCTGTCACACCTGAGGAGAAGAGGTGAGGAACACACACACACACACACACACACACACACACACACACACACACACACACACACACACACACACACACACACACACACACACACACACACACACACACAGAACCTCACGGTACCCCCCCCTCAACGGACGCCACCCGGCGGCCGACCCCGAGAGGTCGAGGCAACAGACCGCTCAAAATCACGGATGAGGGACGGATCCAGGATAGCAGAACGAGGAACCCAGGAGCGTTCCTCAGGACCATAACCCAGCCAGTCGACCAAGTATTGGCGACCACGTCCCCGAGATCGGACGTCCAGGATCCGGGACACAGAGAAGGCGGGATGGCCATCAACAACCCGGGCGGGCGGAGGGGGATCGGCAGGAGGGAACAGGGGGCTCGAGGATACCGGTCTGATCTGGGAAACATGAAAAACTGGGTGAACACGAAGGTGGCTAGGGAGTCTCAGACGGACAGCTGAAGGACTGATGATAGCAGCAATAGGGAAAGGGCCCAGAAACCGGGGAGACAATTTCCTGGGAGCGCCCTTGAGCGGGAAATGCTGGGATGACAACCAGACCTCCTGCCCAACGGAGTATGCGGGGGCTGAAATGCGACGCCGGTCAGCATACCTCTTGTTTTGGGCTGAGGTGCGCTGCAGGGCGGACCGAGTATGGTTCCAAACTCGTTTGCAGGCCATCATGTGAGAACGGACAGAGGGAGTGATGGAATCGGGGAAGGTGCCAGGAAGGAGAGGTGGTTGATACCCGAGTGAGGCCTCAAATGGAGACAGACCTGAGGCGGCAGAGACGTGAGTATTGTGAGAGTACTCAACCCAAGGAAGGTGGAGGCTCCATGATGTAGGGTTATCGGCACAGAGGCAACGGAGGGTGTCCTCGACTTCCTGGTTGAGCCTCTCACATTGGCCGTTCGTCTGGGGATGAAAGCCAGAAGACAAACAGGGTTCAGCCCCAATGGAGCGACAGAAGTCCTTCCACACTTTGGCGATGAATTGGGGTCCGCGGTCTGAAAGGATCTCAGATGGGATGCCATGTAGTCGGACCACGTGGAGAAACAAAAGTCGAGCGGTAGTAGCAGCTGAGGGTAGTTTGGACAGCGGGACCAGGTGACATGCCTTAGAAAAACGATCTACTATAGTGAGGACGACTGACTTGCCTTTGGAGATGGGGAGACCTGTTACAAAATCCAGCGCGATGTGGGACCATGGTCGGGCTGGAACTGGAAGAGGCTGCAG